GCGCGGGAAGAGGCAGCAGCGGCAGCGGAGGGTGACCGCAACTCTGACCCTGCAGAATACGTGGACCTTGCGCCCCATCACAGAGAGCATTCGCTCGGAGGCGTTTTGGCTGTACAGCAACATGGTGTGCAAGTTAAGCCAGTTCAGCGAAGACCTCCGTGTTTGGTCTGAGTCTTGCCCATGCCACGCCTGGCTGCGCAGTCCAGGCCCTTCTTCGCCCCGCCCAGCCGCCGCCGCTGGAAGCGGCGACAACCCTGCCGGAAGCGGTGGCTCCGCCGACTCTGCCCCCGCCGCCACCGCCGCAGAGAGGCTACATGCTGTCAGGCAAACCTTGGGCTTGCAGCAGGGCGTCGGGGACGGCTCTCACTATGGCCCGTGTCCTCTGGCAGGCCAACGAGCCGTCGAGTTGGCCACTGGCGTCATATACCATCTTCTTGACGATTTGCACGAGTCCTACGTTCGCGAGATCTTGGAGCACAATCAGTGCGTTGACCTTGCAGCCATTGAAAACACGCTGGCTGACTTCACTCTTGGGAAGTCGAAAATTGCCCAGCACCTTGGCCTCAAGCTGCAGTGCTGGACGCAGCTGCCATGGAAGCTGGCTGCTTTGGCTCAAAAGAATGCCTTGACCAGTTTGACAGCTCCTCTCAGGACCCTGCTTTGCACCACCGCTTGCCTTGGAAGCACTTGGCACCAGGGTCTGCCACAAGAGAGGAGCTGCTCGCATTCATCGAAGGCACGCCTATGGAGCAGTGCCCATCCTTGAGTGACTTTGTTTGGGGCCTGCGCTTCATGCCCACGCTGAGAGAGTGCAAGAAGGGGAGCGTTCCATAGTGCGTGGCCACCTTGCAGGCCGGGGCAAATTCACTGGCCCCTACGTAAGCCTTCGCTTACGGCACTCTGCTTTGCGAAAGATCATCTCCGTCAAAGAGGAACACACCAAGCTTTTGGAGTACTTTGAGGAGGTGTCCCGCCCCGACACTCTTGCAAAACGCCTTGGCTTCTGGAACCACTCCACTTGGCAGGCGCTGAAAAGTCCTGGTCAGAGATGCACCCGGCGAGCGAAAGTTCGATGGGCCTGCGTTGTTTTGTACGCCCTTGACCCTGAGAGCCAGTACATGAAGCTCACTGCACTTCAGGCAAAGCGACAAGAGGCCAAGGCGCGCAAGAAGAAGATCATCCGGAATAGCATTTTGCGGGAAGGCGGTGCTCAGAGTGATCGATTCAGCCTTGAGAATGTCGAGCGCATTGCAATGTCCGATCATTTGCAGCACACCATGTCCCTGGGCCGGCTTTATAGCGTGTCAGCATCCACCAAGCTTCCGGCCCTTGATGCTGCTCACGCCCCCAAGCGCGTTTCAGCTGCTGGGGTTGTTCGGGCCTAGTCTCCCGCTGTTCCAGTGCTGTCTTGGGCTGTTCGGGTGATGCCCCGGCCTTGTTTTTGTCAAATTTTGAGCTACCACAAGCTGGCCGGGAGCCCCGCTTAGCCCCATTTCAGAGCAAATCGCAGTTAAAATCAAAGAAATTCATGAATATGAAAAGAAACTCATGAAAATAAAGCAAAATCCATAGCAATCATTGACAGCAGCAAAATCCTAAGGACATTGGATCTTTTGACATAAAACGCAATGAGCTGAG